TTTAAATTGTAAAGCGCACTCAAAATTGTACTTTTTGCCTTCGGCAGCATATCAATGAAAGGGGCCTTCGGCTCATGCATTCAGAACCTTTGTTGTACCTTTCAATCTCTCCATTTTTGTTCAAAAAGGATATGGTAGGGACCACCGGTCGCAGTAAACGCTACACTTTGGCATCGCCATTATCCTACCGATTAAGGGACAACGTAAGACTTTATTGACCTTTATTATCTTTCGGTAATTACGGGCCGTTGCTTTGCCATCGGGAAGCACGCCTAATGGTTTCAAATCCTTAACACTAGGAACTTTTGCTTGAAAGGAAATGTTATTGGCCAACGGCCAGTGACCTTTGTTTAGTAGCCTTTGGCATTAAACAGAAAAGTGAAAAATCTCCTAAGTACGTTACCGATTCATAAGAAAGATGCAACTAACTTAAAGTGACTTAAAGTGAAAACATAACTTTAAATTGAAAGATGCCAACAGCATCAGAGTTGTAACAGAATTACAAAAATGCCTACGGCATCAAAATTAAATTAAATACTAAAAAAAAATGCCCTCGGCATTAAGTTTAGAAAGATAAAACATTGGAAACAAAAGCAGCTCCTTCAGAATCCTCCATCAGGCGGCAGCCTCATCGGCACCTGGGGCAGCACCATCGGCCTCGGCAGCACCCCCTTCGGGATCAGCTGGGACCTCCTCTGTCATGTCCTCCCCCTCGTACTCCTCGACCATCTCTTCGGTTATGCCTTCAGGAAGGGGGGGATCGGCAATGAAATTGAGGTTGAGCTTTTTCCCGAGGTTGTACCGCTTGAAACGGTAGAGAAGGTCCGCCATTTCCGAGCCTACCTCCTTGTCCAGCAAGGTAGAAAACTCGGTAAACCGACGGTAGCCCTGGATCGCCTCCCGTACGGCAGCCTCGATCTCGGAAGCCCTGGTCCGCTCGAACTCCTCGAAAGCCACCTGGACCGCCTCCTTCGACTCCAGAGCCTCCTTCGCCGTCAGCTGCGCCGCCTCCAAGGCTGCCGACATCTCGCCAAGCGTGGCTTGATAAACTTTTTCCCCCCCGTTCGGCAGCTTGCATGTCCTTGGCCAAGTTTGCCTGGGCTTGGATGGCCTTGCCAGCTTCGGCAACCTTTGCTCTGCCGTCTTCATATGCCTTCTTCGCCTTCTCAGCGGCATTAATGGCTCACTTAACGCAGAGCCACATGTCCATCGATGCCTGCACAGCAAACGAAAGCGTTAGAGGGAGACAGAAAACATGCATCTGGCGACGGCGCTCGTTGAGTGTCACATCGTCGGGGTCCACACCTCCCGAAGGCGCCGGTGCCGTTCCAGTTTTCTTCTTCTTCCCCTGCATGCCGAGCATGAGGCGTCTCTTCGAGGACTCGTTCATCCTCTTTGCCTCGGCAGCCTTCCTCTCTTCGGTCACTACAAAAAGGAGTCGGTCAGATTCGTCAATGTACATTTTGAGCTGTCAAAAATGGGGAAGTATACTTACTCTCGGCAGGGTTGACAAGCTGGGCCTTGATGAGATTGGCGGTGAAGAGAAACTTCAGGTACACCCTCTCAATGGCAGGAACCTTCAGCCTAACCCTTTTGATCTGCCGGATCTCCGCCTGTGTGGCACTCGGCTGCTTCAACTTGCCTGCACAAAACCAAACGGGATCAGCATTAAAAGACCTACCGAACGGTAGAATAGCCTACCAGCCATTTGGAACGTAGTCGGGATGTGGAAACGGACGGGCTGTCCCGAGGGCGACTCCCAATCACCGGACAAAAGCACCCGCCGGTTCCTCCACGTCTTCT